AGGAATCGGGTAGCAAACACAGGGGGCTGAGTGTGCCTCTCCTGTACAGTATAGAAGGGGAAGATGCCCTGACTGGACACTGCACTTTCTTACCTGCTCGTGCTCTTGGGCTGTTGGCTGTCCAGTTCAGTGCCGGGAGAGGGGCAGGAGTGACGGTGACCCTCAGATGGCCCTGTGGCAACAGACAGCAGGAGGCTCTGCAGGAGAGCTGGCTAAGTATTAGCAGTTCAGTGTCTGTGGTGCAGTGTGACTAGTTTGAGTAACATGATCTCAGTGAGGAAGACTTTACACCACAGCATGGGCTCCAGACCAAAGACCTCAGTATGGGCTCCACTGACCTGAATTAGGGCTCCAGACCACAGTGTGGGCTCCAGCAACCTAAACCAGTACTCCAGACTGTTGTATGTTGTATATATTTATAAGTATATATACAGATGTCGGCTAATAATTCTAACCAAGAACTCGATCACTTAATTGAACCAACTATTGACCCAACTTTAGCCAGTAATTTAGTGAGCTGGGGATCCTGGGAGCAGACCTGGAATGCTGGGATCCTGGGGTCTCTTGGGGTCCTACCTTAACTGTATTTCAATGAGTAGCAAAGCACGTCCGGTCACAAGTTGTTGTTTTGCACAGTTGGGATTTATGGAGATGTTGAGAAAATATGAAGATTGTTGGCTTTATTTTGTCCTGTTTTTGAAGCAGGGAAGGAAATGGAGCAAACAGCTGATGTGGGAGCTGGACTGATAGTGATTGTTAACAAGCAGTAATGACAGTAATGAGTTTCTGAGCCCTCTAAAGAATAAGGGGTTGCGGGGTGTCAGTCTTCTCAGCTCACAGTTCCTTTCCCCAGGACAATAGAAGCCCCAGTTGTCTGGCAACAGGTCCAGAGTCTTTTGGGGTGCTTGCCCAGTCTCTCTGAGATGAGCTTGAATTTCAGAGAGGAGTAACCTAGCAACCCAGTTCTTGTCCCCAGGGGCTGATATTCAGAGAGAGGCCCAAGGATGGGTTGGGGGGACAATGCAGGCGCTTTGAAAGCAGTTCCCTAGCTGGAGCAGACAGGGCTCTGTGGGTGTACAACCATCTGAGCGGCGCACTGAGAGGCAATTCACAGCGTCCTGGACAAGACCTAATACCCGAGCGCTCGCTCTGCAGTCTGTGTGTCCTTCCCTCTGAATTCCCAGCAGCCCCTGGGCGCCTGTATACAGAAATGCAACACGGGCCAAGCACCAGGTGTCCCCGTTAATAACATCGCTCAAACTATTAGCTAGGCTGCTGCAAGAATTCATAAGAAAAACAAAAGGAACTTTTGTTTAAACTTATTTTTCTGAGTGTGTACTCCTACAGTATTTAAATACCAATATGCAACCCACAAATACTTCATTGAGAACATGTGAGGAGAGGATTTAAAGAACTTTTAATTGTCACAGTTATAGCTGTTGTATCATCTGACAGAAAGGCTTTTCATCCCCGTATTCCAATTTTCAGAGAAATGTCAAAAAGAGAGAGGAGCAGCCGTAATACCTAGCATGTTGTTAAACTGCAAAATATATTTACAACAAAAACTTACCGATTCACAAAATTAAACCCCACTCCCCTTACAACGCATACCCAGCTCCCATAGAAAATGGAAAAGAAAAATATATATCTTTTGCTACTTTTATATCGAGTTCTAATCTACATAGTGCTTAGTTGAAATAAAAGGAAGACAGAAATGTTAACAAATTCAAAGCTTTTCAAGGTAAATACAGTATTATCACAATCTCCTGTTGGGTCTGGTCTGGCCTGGCATCTCCAGCCCAGAGTTGCAGCTGAGACATCAATCACACACCGCCCTCTGCGAACTGTGTGGCCATCTCGTACGGGGGTGAGGAAGGAACATACCCCGTATTTTGAGACTTTGTACAAAATGCCATGGGGCACAAATTTCAGCAGATTTAAAATGCAAAGCAGTTCAAGATATTTCTCAGACTTTAAAACTTGGTGGGCAAGCGTGGAACCTCAGGCGGTGTGGCTGTCTCCGGGGTGGGGCGAGGAGAGCAGGAAGCACGATCGGAACAAACTCAGTGCCCGCGGGTGCTATCTGGGCTGTGGCGTTGCTTGCTGACCTGGGCCTGCTGCTGTCAATGTATCCAAAGAGGTGCGCCTGGGAGCTGGTTTTGACTGCAGGCTTCACGCTGGAGCAGCTGGGCAGAGGCACAGTTTATCACCAGTCAGACAGATGAAGGATAAAGAGCCTGCAGCTGAAACAAAAGGTAGAATTCCAGGATTCCTCCTGCTGGGGTGGGTGTGTTGCTGAGCACTTACAGTTTGTTTGGCCTGGGAAGGGGGGGTGACCGGACCCCCGAGTGGACAGGCTGAGGCTGGGAAGTTCAGATGGTTCAGTCCAGTTGTGCTTCTTGTCTGGGCTGCGCTACAGAATTGAGGGAAGTGGCACAAATGCTTAATGGCTATGTGTCAAGTATTGAGTACAACAGCATCAAAAAGACAGAAGCCCTTGAAACAGGAGTTTAAAATCATTTAAGTTTCAGTTCTGCCTCTGTCTGGCCCTCTTCTGTTTTAGCTCTTTCTGGGTTATTAAAATAGCAAACTCTTCTTCTACAGACCATGGTGGGTCCTGGTGGCGCCATATTTTTGAGAAGTGGGCAGTGGAAGAAGGAAGAGGAGAAACAGGTTCAGACTGAAGAGGGCAATGAAACTGCCTCTGAGCAAAACCGTTACTCTCCACCGCCAGCAGGGGGGACAGATTGGTGGCTGGGGAGATGGCAAACGAACGTTTCTGTCACAGCTCTTGGAGTGAGATGGTTGGAAATGACACAGTGGCCTTGCGGGGTCTCAGTGCGTGGCTCAGAAGCACACGTGTGTACTCAGGAAGACGGCACACGCAGCATCCTGAATCCTGACCAGACTGCTAACCCAAACCTCTGTCCATTTCCATCCTTGTACCAGGCAGCTGTGCCCTACCCAACGAGTGTTCATGGGTTACTGTGGCACTGCCGTAAGGCCCTGTAGAAGCAGTCCACTCCGAACGGGCTGCACCACCGCTCTGCTCAGGATTGACAGCAGTGTGTTGAGTGGGGACTGAGCCCGCAGCTCTCAGCCCTGAGCAGCGCGCCCAGAAATTCATGCTGCAAGAAACAGCGGTGAAGCCAAGCAGGAGAGAGGGAGGTTAAATCCGTGAGGAAGCTACAGGGAAGCCCCGTGCGCAGGTCCCAGCATGCCCAGGTGCACAGCGAGCGGCGCGGCGCGGCGGGCCTCAGCAGGGCGTGCCGAGCGCCAGCACCGAGGCGCTGTCCCTGGGCTTGTCGAAGAAGATGGAGGAGGACACCTCTGTGGTCTTGAGCTTGCTGGCGCTGGGCCGGGCGGCGCCACGCTCCGGCGGGCCGCAGTCCTCGCAGCAGCAGCAGCAGCAGTCCATGAAGGCCTGGCCCAGCGCCCTGCACAGGCACAGCAGCAGCACCGGCGTCACCGCCGACTTGACGAAGAGGAAGAACTGGTTGACCAGGGCCAGGAGGGCGGCGGTGTGCCGGGACACCTCGGAGGAGAGGTAGGCCAGCACGATGCTGCAGACGTTCTCGGGCAGCACACAGGCGCCGTACACCACCGCCAGCGCCACCACCGTGCAGTTCAGCTGCCCGTCGCACGGCCCCCCCTTCCTGGGGGACCCCCGGCTCTCCTGCTTGCGGGCCGTGCCGCTGATGCGCCTGGTGATGAGCTGGCACGTCAGGGTGAACAGCATGGGCAGGCAGAAGTAGCAGCCGAAGTACCACCACATGCGGGCGTCGTGGTAGGTCAGCACCAGGGAGTAGACGGACTCCGGCAGGCTGGCGGAGGGCCTCATGGTGCACGAGTCGGCCAGCGCGCCCGTCACGGGGGAGGCGTCCTGGCCCAGCTGCCACAGCAGCAGCTCGGGCACGGCCAGGATCATGGAGCCCACCCAGATGACCGCCAGCTTGGCCAGGATGGACTGGCACTGCTCCACGGGCCGGGTCTTGGGCTGGGTGCTGGTGGCGGCGTGGAACCGGTCGATCCCCAGGGCGCACAGGCTGAAGGTGGTCACTCCCAGGGAGGTCATCTGGCGATGAAGGGGGAAACCGTTTGAGAAAGCCGGAGCGGGCTTGCAGCAAGGTGGGAAAGGCAGGACAGCGCGGGGGGGGGCACCTCAGACTCTCACTCACCCGCCGCTCGAGCCACACCCCTCCCTCGAAGGAGACACGGCTTTGACCTCGATCGGCCTCACAGAGTGGAATTAGGAGCCGTGAGCAGCAGGTGGCGGGAGGAGTCCCAGACAGGGGTTTTCATCTCTGCCTTTCAGCAGCCTCACGTTTCATAAAGAAAGATCTGAGTTTCACCTCTGTGTCTCCCTGATAATTCAGCCAATGTAAAGGTCTCCACGCAGCAACAGAAATCGTGCGTTTTGGTCCCTGTCCTGCCTATTATCACGAAAACGCCAATTGCCGTTTCCACAACTCCTGGTTAAAAATAATATCTCATTTAAAAGCACTTTCAAAAGACTGCGTAACTAGATTTTAATGTAATGCCTCTGCAAACTGAACTACCTTTGGACCAAACCATGATTATTTGATTCATTCACGGGTAAAATAAGAGTGTTAGAATACACGCCCGAGATGAGAGTAGTAAAAGCCAACGCGTCATCGCAGCCGTGACCCGGGCACTCACCTCGAGATACGGCACGGTCTTGCAGGACAGGTCTCCGAGGAGCCTCGTCTTGGTGATCTCGTTAAAGATGACCACGGGCAAGCAGAAGAACAGCACCAGGAAATCCCAAAACGCCAGGCTGGCTAAGATGCAGTTCCAGGCGCTCTTCATGTAGTAGTTGTGCCAGACGACGCACATCACCGCCAGGTTTCCCACGATGCCCACGGCGAAGACAATCAGCGACAGGAACATGACGGCGTAGGCGCTGTACGAGCTGTCCGTCACGGGGTACAGGGGGTTGTGGATACGGGTCGTCCCTTTCTCGGCGGAGGTGATGTTCCCGGAGACTTCGGCCTCCGGGGAGCCGTCCTTGAAGAGGTCTAAAGGCGTGCCCGCCCCGCTCACCGCCGGCCGGAAGGTGCTGGACAGCTGCTGGGTTTTAGGGGTGGTGAAGAAGTCATTGGGGTCGAAGGGGCGCGGGTTCCTGTAGCTGAAGGGGAACTGCTGATCCCGCTTTCTCGGGCTCCCGTCCTTGGCGCCCCGCGGCACTCTCTTCCCGGCTCTCCTGAGGCTCGAGTCGGGCTGTACCGGGATGGATTCCCGCTTGGGCGAATCCTCTGGTATGTGAGCCGCCGGAGACGATCCATCCAGCGCGACAGGCGACACAGCACCTGCGAGCCCCTGTTCCACAGGCTCTTCTCCCACAGGCGGCGCATCCGCACCCCACTTGTCAGCCGCGTCCCTGGGCTCGGAAACGCCTGTCCACAGCAGCAACATGAACGTTACCGTCGGAATCATTGTGTTTATTGGAGAAAGTAAAGAGTCACCACAGTTAATACTCGGACGCAATCACTGCTATAAAAGACATTAAGGAAGATCGCAAGCTTCAGAACAGCATGGATTCGTCTTTTTTTTAAACAAAAAGCCTGCGTCTTCCCCGGGAGAGAGGCTGCTGCTGGTTTATTTTCTCCTGGTGTCCATCCTCCGTCCCGATTGCGCCGCAGTCACCAGCGCGCGTGACTGGCTCCCCTTCTTCAAAAGAAACAAGGGGGCGTAGAAAAAGCCCGTGAACTTTCATCAGCCCAAAACCCGAGAAAAAGAAGAAAGTACAGCATCTGGGCCACCTTGTGGACGAAAAATAACACTTTAATTGCATTTGTTGATCTGCGTTGCGTTTCCTGCGCTACTCTTGTTATAATCAACTAAGGTCACATCAAGTTTGTGTACCTTTACCTTTGCGGATCTAATCCACAAGTGTCAGTGAGGTACTGACGACCTCTAACCCCCCAAAGTGAGACACCCCAAGACCCAGGGAGCTCCGGCCCACTGCAGAAGTTGGGGACACCAATGTCCCATGTCCCACTGTTTTTTTTGCTAGTCTGTGATTCCAATATTAATAATCCCTTGCATTTTGTAACTCTTTTTATCGCGCTTGTCGTGTAGAGGAGAACCCGCAGATGTGCTGCCCCACAGGGCCGGCGCCAGGGGAAAAATCTGTAGGGGGGCGGTGATATTTCGGTTGAAACGGAGCCGTTGCAACGACCCAAGTGAAATCTCGCAACCATGCCACTGATTAGTGCTTCATGATAGAAGATAACGACGAACAATCCGATATTTAGCGATGATGTACAGTTTCACGTTCATCAGCACTCTCGCGGTTATCATTGCCTGGAGTGACAAAAGACCATACACGTTCAGTTTTGCAGCAAAATCGACAGTTACGAGTTTCTGAATCGTTAAGAAAAATAGTTGTAAAACCAACAGAAAGCACAAACGTCTACAACTACAGTCCTGCTTATATAACGATTGTAAGTGTAAGGATAAACTACTGCAAGAAATCGGTCCCCCTGAGCAAAAGTAATAATGTTAACACTACCACCCTAACACACTTCCTATCCCCAGGACCATTAACCAGAACTTTTCCATCCTACAGGATGATCCCTCCATTGGGGCCCTCTTTTCTGATCGCCCTATCATCTCATATCGCCGACCACCTAATCTGCGTAACCTCCTTGTTCACAGCTCCCTTGACCGCCCTCAACAACCATCCACACCAGGCACTTCCCCTTGCAACAGAGTTCGCTGTATCACCTGCAAGTACACAGCCACCACCACACTCATTCAAGGCCCCTCAGGACAATTCCGGATCACCCAGACAGCATCTTGTACCTCCAGCAACCTTATTTACTGTATCTCTTGCAGTAAATGCCCAGCCATCTACATTGGAGAAACAGGAAGGAGACTCGGAGACCGCTTCAGAGAACACGTCAGGGCTGTGAAGATTAAAGATCTCTCCAAGCCCATTGTTTCTCATTTCACCTCTGACGGCCACGACCACTCTAATCTCTCCGTCTGTGTTCTCAAAGACAGTTTTCCGAACTCATACATCAGAAAGACCACCGAAACTAAAATTATTCTGCAGCTAGGATCACACATTCTCCCTTCCCTTAACGACAGATTACTGTTCTTTTAAATTTTCTCCATTCATTGGAAGTTTCATTTCACACCTCTCTGCACCCATTCTGACTTCACACCTCTTGATTGGCCTCTCTTTCTGTCCCCTGCTCCCGCCTCTCACTCCTCCTCCCTCCCAACCTTTGTTCTCCCGCTACTTTACCTTTGCTTCTGCCCTGTCTCTCTCACACCTGAAGAAGGCTCCACGGCCGAAACGTTGTGTTCTCTTTCTTCTTTTTTTCAGCATGGAATAAACCTATTACTTGTTCCTTTGCATGTTAACACTATGTCATATGTGCCGTTCCTGGACGGATAGCCCTCCTGCACATCATACAGTACGATGTAGTAACTGTGAATTCGGGGTTAGTGTAGTTATCTGACCAACTATTTTTTAGGGCGCAAGTTAAGTAAGCGAAAGTGTACAAAAATCCGTTTGTCCACAACTGAGGGGGCGGGACAGTTCAGTTGAGGGACCCAGCAGCACAACCCAAGACGAGCAAAAACAGACATCAGAATAAACTCAAAATCAAAATAAGTACAGCAATACAAAATAAAAAGAGTTAGGTGTGTGCAAAACATGCTCATAATCACTGTAAAACAATAAAATATGTGCGAATTGCGCATAGGCATATGCAGATTTAAAGTACCACAGTATAAACAGTATATTAATGCAGTGTCCAAAAAACACATGAGTGCGACATGCTGTCCATAGATGATCACATGAAGGGCTAGAAGTCCTAGCCTAGGGCAGCGTTATACACCCTGAAGGACCTGCGGAAACGTTGATCACCGTAGCTGGAGCAGTCTGTTACTAAATGGCCGAATGGGTCTTGCTTTGGATGAAAGCATCAGTCAACCAAGCTAGCAAACGTTTTATTCACAAATTGAACTAAGAAGGTGAGACGGTTTATACGTAAGAAAGGATGTTGTGCGCAGTTTTATTTGTTGTCCCTCGGCAAGGGCTTCAGGAAACAGCTGCCCGTCTTGTTCGAGACACCCACAACCCTTTGTGGAAAGTGTTGTTTTCAGTGCTAAAGGTACATCCAACTAGTTTTAATCCTGGGTGCTGAAACGGCCAGACCACTTCTAGGATTTAGAATACTTGTATCACGAGATAAAGATGCTGTAACCTGTTTCTGGCTTTCAGACCAAACATGAATTCTGTTCGTTTTTAACTCTTTCAATTCACTCCTTACAACCCAACAAAAACTATTTTTTTTTGTAACATAAAATCTTTCTTGGATCCTCCAGCAGCCGGGGATACTGTTGGCAGAGCGCGGCTACCGGAATCGCTGGGCGCGTTCACCTGCGCTGTGCGCGTGCACCTGCACTGTCACGCACCCGCGCCATCATCCCTGCTCTCCCCGCGAGTGCACTGACACAGACAGGGCAGCAGGCGGAGGCAAAGGGCCGCTACAGTTTCCACACTGGGAAGTAGTTAAGGATTTATCAAGGCAACCAGTGTCGGCAGTGCTGTGGATACTGAATGGGTCGATGTGAGCTCTCTCCGAGTAATTCTTGTGGGTTTATTCAAACATTGCACAGACCCTTGCTGTGATGCCCTTTCAGTTGGTCCCTATATTTAAAATTTATTTTGATACCTTTTTGAGAATGTTTTAATAATCTTTTTTGTTGATAAAATACCTAGAACCTATACCTGCATTTAGAAATTTGGAACAGGAGGTGTTTCTAACACAGAGGGTTGTGGGAGTGTGGAACAAGTGGAACCACTCAGATATAGCTGAATAGCTGAAACTGACACCCCTGGCTACACAAAAGATAATTTGTTTCTGGATGTTGTGTTCCAGTTGCATATACAGTATGGGTCGCAGTGTCTACAGTCTACACCAGCTTTCACAGTTTTCAGCCTTTATTGCCTTGTGGCCTGAAATCAAAAGGGTATCTATTCACATCAGAGTGAAGAGATTGACACAGATTCAAGTGAGTGCGTCCTTCTTCCATTAATCTGGTCTCACACGCCCAGCTGGTCATAAAACGAAAGACCTCCATATCAGTCATCTGTAAACCGCAGAGGAACCTCTCACTTCTCTTTTAAATTCGCTCTGAACACAAGAGTAAACAGCATGTGACTCCTCCTCGTGTGTCAGGGCAGCAGCGATGTCATCCCAGCGGTTGTGCAATTCCAGCAGGTCTGATTCCCCGCCAGCGCGGTGCAGCAGGAAGGCCATCAGCTGCTATGAACAGAATCAGGAGACGTCCTGGGACCCGAGCTCGGGTGTGTCTCAGTCCCAGGGGTCTGGCCTGTTACAGAAGGTGCTGTTTTTATACACTGTTCTATTATTAAACATGGCGCTTGAGTCAAACTCAGCCCCCTGCCATCTACACTCCCGTCTCCATTCGGACTTTTAGCAGTCAGGGGCTCTGGTCTTAGAACTGGAAGGTTGTGGGTTCGATTCCTGCATGTGTCCAACCTGAGAGAGCTCCTTCAGAGTGCTCCAGTTAAATGCCCAGCTGGGGATGCCCGTCAAAACACTTTCTGAAGTTCTACAGGAGGGTTTCAGAGGAATCTGAAAGCAAGGTTGTGACACCTGTGTACTGAAGCCAGAGGCTTAGACTCATTGGGAAGATGCCCGGCTGTAGAAGTGTGGTCCTGGGGTCTCCCAGTTGTAGCAGACAGACACGTCTCAATTAATTCATTTTCTCCCGCAGACTCGTTTTCCACAGATTCCCCCCGTCTGTGATGCTGGTTCTAGCACAGCAAGCTGTCGACCGGGCTGCAGCCCTCATACAGGGCTGCAAGGGGTCAGCAAAGAACGAAGCTGGAAGTGACAAGTCTGGGGACTTTGAACACCTGTACTGTGGCTTAGGAGGTCAGGGTAAGTCTAGCTTGGCATGAGCGCGAGAAACATAACTGTTTTACGTTATTATTATCGCTCTTGCTTTTTTGCCCTATCATCACGTGAAAAGCAATACTATATTTTTCTTGTTTATGTCAAATTTTTCTTTACGACGACTATAGGCACTTTGTTAGCTTGTCTTAAGAATTAACTCAACCTCTCTGTCGCATCCTGGACCAGGGGCCAGTGCGTCTGCAAGCTTTCATTTCAACCGAGCCTCTAAAAAAAGAGCTAAATTCGCTCACTTTCCAGCTCTTCAGAATAATAAAAAAAAAATCTGTAGACACACGAGCCCTTCAGGACCTGAACCGGACAGCCCCGGTGTTTATAATTTTAAAGCTCTTATTCATCCGCTAGAGAAAAGTATTTGTACAGTTGCCAGAAAGGGTATTTCAACATTAGATTAGCCATTAATTAAATACCTAACGAGGTGGGAATGCCGTCAGACTCCTTCCACTGTTCTTGTATTACATAAAATTGGCACTACGAGAAACGAATCGGCTTTGTTTTCCCTAACTCTACCCCGGCTTTGTCCTCGCTTCCCGCTCTCAGTCCAGCCGGTCCGACCGGCTGCTGTGACGAGTTATATAACCGCCTGCAGCCCTGCGCGCATTCCTCGGCTGGGGGCCGCATTTTCCACTTTACTGTATGTATATAGTCTCAGCTGTAATAGCAAAACACGAGAAAGAAAAAAAAATTCCCCTGAGGGGCTTGTCCGTCCGGTGAGGCAAGC